GAGAGAGAGAGAGAGAGAGAGAGAGAGAGAGAGAGAGAGAGAGAGAGAGATAAAGAGAGAATAAAACGAAAATACGAAGATAGAGCGAACGACTTAGTGGAAATTTTCACGCAATTCAATGATCAAATTAATCGTCCTCATGCATACTGCGAATAGCACAAACATAAAAAGATACACGACCTAAGAAGAATTACGAAACGTCGATGACAAGTTTCGCATCGTCGTTATACTCATCGATCGTAAGTACGAGAAAGTCAACAAACTAAAAACCAATGCTATGTGGCAGAAAGATTGTTATATTCGAATGAGTGAAAGCAATAAACAGCGGGTGTGTACACTACCCTTAATTGTTCGTTAATTGTTAAACTAATATTGAGTTACGTTTAATGCTTGACTAATGACAATGTTACGATTACCTCAGGAGTCGAAATCGTATGTGTAACAGTACGTTAATATATTTTTAGTATCAGGATAGAACACAGCATACAAACGGTTACGTCGAATCGACGTTCGGGTATGCTTTCGTTAGAATAACAATAAATCTCTCGTAAATGGCATTACATTCCTATACTTAATGCATTTAATGCAAGCAAATTAATGTCAATTAACATGAAATAAGAACAGTCAAAACAACAAACCAAACGTTAACACATGTTTGTTAATAATGATAACAAAATACTCAGGTGTATGTCCTTTCTAACGATTAAAAATATTGAAATTAAATAGGAACGCAACTTTAATTGCCTCTTGGGAAGTGGGTAGAGCAATGCTCGGGATTACTTGCATTTTTGAGGATTATGGCTTATTTTCTTCTTTTTGCTAATTACATTCGCCCGTCGAGCCAGCGACTGATGATCGCTGCGCTCAGCCTCTAAACGGCCAACTTTATAAGACTTGCAAGATTTTTCCTAATTTCTTATTAAAACTAACCCTCTATCCGTATTATTTTTATGTAATATTATGTTTCTATCTACGCTATCAATACACTTATATTATTATAATTACAACGATACATGGAACAAATTTTGGCCGGATTAATGAAATATCTAGTGAAATATAAACGAACTAGAATTCCGGTTTAAGTTATCAGAATTCTATTCAAGTTAACAAGATTTCTGATCAAGTTGAACAGTTATAAGTTAACCAATGTTGGTTAACCAGAAATCTTGTTAACTTGATACCAGAATAGAATTCTAGTAACTTTAACCGAAATTCTGGTTTGTTTATATTTCATTAGATATTTGGTTAATTCAACAAAATATTTTTTTTCTATGTAAAACATTAGTTTCAACAAAAACTTTTTAGAAATTTGAGGAGAGTATCGAAGCTCCTATAACATTCCTGAGGCTAAATGACGCGACAGTCAGTCGCAAGGCTAACGGGTGAGTGGCAGAGGTAAAAGGAAGAAAGATATAGATTTCGAAAATCGCCTCAAAAGTACAATTCCGAGCACTGAGGTAGAGAGAAGGAAATAGTACCATAAAAAGTTTCTTTCAAAGTTACTTTGAGATGCTTCTAATCAAGAGACGACTTGACTTTCAAATACATTACGCACAGGAATTAAAGAATCGCTTCTTTTTTTATCACAAAAAGTAGACAAAATATAACAGATTCGGAAAAATAAAAGTAATAAAATAATCACTTAGTCGCTCATCTTCTGTGAGCGACTAAAGTGAAAAGCACTTTTTTTTTCTGTGCACGAGCTTTTATTTATGCGATACAACTCAACAAACTTCATCAAACATTTTGACATTTAATGGATTTCAATATATATTCGTACAATGTTGTAAAGAAATCTTATATCTGAAAATATATCTTCAAATTAAAGACATTAAATTGTAAAATGCATCTTGAACCATCCCATTATCATTATTTCCTCAAAAGTTACAACCTGTAGAATTCTGCGTATTTTTTATGATTGAGAGAAATGAATCTTTAACTTCTGTGCATATGTTATAGGGACTATCGAGAATTGATAAAGACATTAATATTCGGTGACGACCAAATATTGTAAAATTTATAGGTAGAGACAAATTCTGACAATTACGGTTTATCAGTCCAACTTTAAATCTCTGAAAGATAGAGATGGACGATATAAAAAAAAGATAATCAATATTCGAATAATCCATTATGAAAACATATAAATTTTTGCGTAATTGTCTGTACCCTTGTTTCCAGTACAGTTCAGTAATGAAATTTAGTAACTTCGAATCCAACGTCAATCCATCGGTCAAACATCGTCCACCCCTAGAAATATCGCGCAGATATTTGAGAGCTCGTAGCGAATACTTACCGCGGCACGGGTCGTTCTTCAGTAGGAATTCGTCTAGCGCTACCCAGCCTCCACCAACGCGCACCATGACGGTGGAGCGCAGGATTCGAACCAATCGTAGCTTCTGGCTATCACCGAACTAAAATGCCACGATAATCGCATTAGAACTGGTTCGTTTTAATTAAAATAATCAAAACAAAAATAAATTATAATGGTGCAGTGAATTGTACGTACCCTGTACTTTCCTTCGCCAACTTGGAAAACTCGGAACTTTTGGCGACAGGTGCACAGCATGACCAGTCGTTTGACCTCGTCATGTATTTTGTCCGTGTCGTTATACGTTCGCCGTTCTTCCCAATCGGGTCGCAGAGCGGCAATGAATTCTTTCCAGTCTATGAGACCTTCACCATGACGATCGAATAGATCGGCAACGGCGCCCATCTCCAGACGAGAGGTCTCGAATTCTGTTTGAAGTTAGAAAATTACGGCGTAAGAAATACTACAGATATACTCTTCAAGAAAATGGTAAATGACATGATAAGTACTGGTGTTCATAATTCCTTGAATGAAGTCCTCTCTCGGAATCAGCCCGTCATTATTCTTATCCATTTTTCGGAATAGGTCGGTCAGCCTGGATTTCTTATGATTCATGAACTTCAGGAACTGTATTTAGAAAATAAATAGCATGTATTTATTCGCACTCTTATAATTAAGATATTCTAATACATTTTTATATGACATAAAAGATAATGGCAAATTCTTGCCATAAGCCTTACCCGTTTGCGCCAATCTTCCCAACTAAAGTTGGCGACACGATCCAACTCTTGAATGTAATTATACTTGTCCTGCAGCCGACGTTGACGTTCCCATGCTAGCATCCAAACGTGGCGCCATTTATCCCAGAGCAGCTTAACTCTCGGACTACGGAATTCCGGTTCGGCTCCTTTGCTGCTTGTAAAGAGAGAAAGATACATATGCATATCACGCATGTACAATAAATGTATATATAAAAATTGAAAGTATGAAATACATTATCTCGCCTGGTGAATGACTGCTAACATATGAATGCAAAATTATAGTAATAACGTTCGTTTAGTACGATACTCGCGACAAAAAAAAATGAAAATGTAAAAAAGAGAGAACTGAATGAAAAGTTTAAATAAATATTATAATTAATAAACCCAAGACTTCACATGTTCAACACAAAGACGGTCTCGTGAGCGAGCAATAACAAAGTTTATCAAACCCACATTTCATCCCGCCCAAGAGTGGACAAGAACATCCCTTTACCGAGTCATTAGTAAGTCATATGGTATGCCGAGTCGTAAGCGGTAGTAGTAATGCCTGGTATGGTTCGGGACAAATCTGAGCGTAGAATGAACTCAAGTAAAGAATAAGGCGTAAACGAACCTTCCTTTGGGTGGGAAGCGTGGACCGATGTGCGGCAATGAAAGGTCTGGAGTTCTGTCACGACCTGGGCTGCCTCGGCTAAACAGGAACATGCGTCACATCACTCAAACACTTTCTACTGAATAACGTATCTATAAAGACCACGTCGACGTACTGCGTCTCGGTACAGCAGTCTGGCTTACGTTTCATATTGTCTTGAGTTTCATTGTCTATTGAGTATCAGATTAGAAAAGAACAGTGTGGAACTGGTAAGAGAAATTTCTCATTGAGAGTATATGATTTTCACGTGTGTGAAGTGATTGATACACGTTTAAAACGATCAGTTCCATTTTTCATGTTGGCAAAAGATCGCAAAAATGCTTAAGCTATGTGTATGTGTTACAAATTGCGACACAAAATACGTCAGAACAGAGTATAGCTTATTTTGCGACACAGTGCAAAAGTTGTGAACATATTGTGATTATGAAAACATAGTGATCACGAGTGAGAAGCAAGAATGTGAGTTAAAACATTTAACGTTGTTGATAAATTGTAGATTTTCGGTTTTAGATACTGCGGAATTACTGTGCGAATAAAATTAAAAAGATACAGTGAGAGTGTCGTGTTGTAAATGTTGAATTCACACAACAAGGAACATATACTACTCTAAAGAAATGTGCAAACTAAGTAATGAACACTTTACTTACAAAGGATCTACTCGATTAACTCAGCTATTCCGTTTCTACGCATATTTGAATTCACAAAAAACTAGATATAATTAATGTCACATAATATAGTTTATTAAAATGCTTGGCATTCTATCGTTTGTTAAAAACAATGAGGCACATTCGTTGTTATTTTACAAATAAAAACCATCTCGAACGGAACAGCAAAGTTATGCAAAAATATTTACATATGTTATGATCGACAACGCACCTTTGTTTACGAGGTTGAGGCTGCTCATGCTCGCTATCCTGATAGTGATCCTTACTGGAATTTCATTGCAAAAGCAACATATCATGCAACAATTAAACACAAACGCGGAATACAATATACGAGACGCAACATAAAAAAAAAAGATTATAAGCAGACAACGGAGAAATTCGTCATTCTTTAAGATACAATTTGACTGTGTAATCACTATTGCAGTGTGCGTGACAAGATTTACGTGACAAGATCAACTAAACTAGGACAATCAAGTGCATGATGACACATGTGTAAGGCAAATGTGACCAGGAAGCAACATAAAATTAAAATCATGATTGAACAAACATAATTACGTACAATATGTCGCGTGATATATTCGAATATTGCAAATTATACATCAATTTGCAAGAATAAAAACTTTGATTCACACAACATATTGCACCGTTAATTTCGTCGACATATCGTGACGTTGTATGTAAAAATGTGCAAATTAATAAACACGTACATAGGTGCTGGTGATTTAACTTTCGATATCTTTCTTGTATCCTTTATCGGCTTAATTTGTCGAGCCTTGCATACGCGATCAACCTCGTTCTGTCTTCGGCTGGTATTCTCCATGAACTCTCTATGATCGGCGATGAGCATCTCGAGTGTAGCCCGATCGTCGGGCAAAGGTTCTGCTTCTAAGGCGTTCAAAGTATTCTCCAAACCTTCGAGCCAAGCCAATAGTTCCTCAAGTAGATTGTCAAGATCCTGTAAATGCGCACGTAACGACATCAGCATTGATTACAGTAAACAAATTTTTATATTTACTAGATATACCGACCTGTAGTCCCTGCATATGATTTTCCAGTCTTTGATTTCTCTGGTAAGCCCATGTCGCTACTTCCTCCCACCTGGACTGGATAATCGTGATCCAATGTTTGATAACAGCTGCACCATCGGGATGTGCCTTTCCGAGAATGATATGCGCCAACTCCAATGTGTTATCCTTCTCGATTTCCTTAGCTTGCAATTCGCGTAGAAATCGCGAGTGCTCCATCAACTGGTTCCTGCTCTCCTGCTCGTCCTCTGGCAGAGGTCCGGCGAATCGTAATTTCATCTCCGCATCGCTCAGCCATTCCAGTAATACATGGACAGCTTTGTGTAGCCGCTCGGCTTCCCTGAGAGCTTCTTCCAATAATGAAGACTTCTTCGACGAAAGACTAGTGACTCTGTCCCAAAGACTGTTTAGTTCGGACAACTGCGATCGGATCATCGATGCGTCCTCAATGCTGGCTTTGGACTCTAGCTCGCGACCCGTCTTGATGACAGATTCCATTTGCGAGGCGCGAGACTCCAGGTCTTTTTCGAAAGTCTTGTGCTGCTCTACCAGATTAGTTACCGTATCCAAATCGCCATAGAGCGGTCCAGTGTTGGCCAAGTACTTCTCAGTCTTGCTTAGCCATTCCAATAATGCTTGAATCGCGTCCTTGAATTGTCCGGAGAACAACAATGCTTCCTCTAACTTCCTCTGTCTGTCTACACATTTTCCGCAGACCGTAGTCCACTTGTTCTTCAATTCATTCAACAGTTCACGCAACGCGGGTTCGTCACTCTTCGGCGCCTTGTCTTTAAGCACTTTGCCGTTCTTCATGGTAGTGTCGTATGTGCTCTGCTTGGCGCTCAACGCTTTCTGTATCTCACGATGTTTGTTCAGGCGCGACTTGATCTTGTCTGGATCATTACCACCGAGTCCGTCTGCGGCGACTTCGTCCAGCGTCCTCTCAGTCTCATCCAGCCAGTTCATCAGATTCGACCACGTATCGTGGAATTCTCGGGCCTCCTTGTAACCGTGATCCAAAGCCCTCGTTCTCTCGGCTGACTTGGAGACCACTCGTTCCCATCTGTGCTGCACGCTCACGAGCAAGTTCCTTATGAGAATCACATCCTGTTTCTGGGAGAAGTATTTGAGGTGAGTTCCCTTCTTATCGAGATTCAGCATGGTCTCTCGATGAACGCCGACATCCTTCTGGAACGCTTTGTGTTCTTCGATCTGCTGAAGTATGGTCTCCATGACCCTTGAGACGGGCTTAAGATTCGTTAAAATCTTCTCAGCGTTAGTCAACCAGGTCATAAACGCTTGTAACGCATCATGGAATTCGGTAGCTTCTTTCAGAGCGATCTCCAGCTTTATCTTTTTGTCACTGGCACGCGAAATTACGTTGTCCCATTTCTGCTTCAAAGTTCGCAGATTGTGATTTAGTCCGCCGGCACTGCTCGTATCCGCTCTCTTCAGGTACTCCTGTCCTTGTTGCAATACCGTCTCGACTTTCGGACGATTCTGTTCCAGTTCATTGTACACTTCCATGAAGCGTTCTAGCTGTTCAGATGCGGTCTCAGGCAGTCCACCAACAGGTTTAGATGCCACTATCATGTTATCTACGTCACCTAACCACGATAGCAAGTCTTGTATCTCGGCAGTAAAGGATTGCGCCTCTCGTAGAGCATCCTCCAACTCTCGTTGACGATCGGCAGCGCGCTGCAGCAGATCGCGCCAACGGCGATTCAGAGTGCCCAATTTGTCAGCTGTGGTAGACGCTTCGGCGGTGCCCTTGCCATCTTCGATCAGTTGACGTCCGGCATCGTTGAGGGTGTCGACGCTCGTCTGATGTGCTTGTATGTCGTTCACCAACACCTTCAATTTGGCCAACTCAACCTCGATCACTTGCGGATCGCCGGCTACCGGTTTCAGATTGTCCAGAGTCTTGTCAGTCTTCTCGATCCATACCAAGAGTTCATCTAAAGCGTGCTGGAATTGGCCGAGACGCAATAATGCATTCTCCAGTAATCGTTGTCTCTCCACGAGACCCCTCAGTAATCCATCCCATCGTTTGTTCACCGCACCAAGGGGCTCCTTGATAGCTGCCGCTTGTTCTGAGGATGTTCTTTCTGTCAATTCGGCTGCTTGCCTAGATATGACAAGACAATGATGTTAGCGTATGTATATGTGCATTGCTATATTTAATGTTCCTCTTAATAGCCACACATATGCTATTACGTATACTCGAACCACATAACATCGAACACCACATCTACGGGGAGGACAGATAGAAAAATCTCAACGAATGTTTAGCTACCAAAGAAATTAATATCAACTAGATATTAATCATTGCCGCTGCCACGTTATTTCTGTCGAGAATAAATTATATATTACGAACAAGTTGTGTCTACGCGAATTTTCGCGCTTGGTCACTCGACCCACCTACATGCGGCCGAGCCTTTTACTTCAAGATGTAAGTGGTGAGGGGACGGAGGAGGATTCGATTACATATATTTACGTGAACGTAAATTGTTAAGATTGTTGATAGATAATTATTATTAAACTCAACGGGATGGGGAGAAGTAGACACGTCCAGAACAACAATGAAGCCATGCTCTAACTACAGCGACAACACACAGAGAGAGATTGACTTGCCTTGTCAGACTCCTATGTTTCGGGAACCGGCGCGGAAAAAACAAAAGTTGGGATTAGAATTTACTTCTTCTCACAGAAAGGTTTCACAGTCACAATGATACCCACATATACCAGAAAAACAATAATTTTCTCGGCTGGGAGTTGCACAAAGGGGACAATGCTGAGCACTGAACTCTTTGTAACGCTATTTGTCACAGAAATCTAAGGTAGCTAACGTCCTAAGAACTAATCGTCACCTGTTCAAGGCCTCGACTTTCACCATGTGTGGATCCACTTCGGCTTTGAAGTTGGCCAACTGTTTGATCTGCTTCTTCACCTCATCGATATCGCTGCCGAGCGGACCCATGTCGGCAAATCGGTCCTCGGCTTCTTGCAAGAACTCCAACAGATTCTGCAACGTTTCGTGAAACTCCATCGCTTTCTCCATAGCGTCGATGAGGTTCTCCTCGCGCCTGGCATATAGCGCAGTCACATTGTCCCAGGCCTGATCCAAGTCCTCGATGTGTTTTCGTACTTCGGGTTTGTCCGGTTCGCCACACAGGCCCATCAATTCGTGTCCAGACGCACGGACTTGCTCGACGTCCGGTTTGGTCTGGTCGATCTCTTGCCTGATCTCTTGCAATGCCACTTGCTGCTGCTGAATAGCGGCCGGTTGTGCCGCCGGCGGCGCTTGTCCAGCGAGCGCATCCTGTAGTTCTCTCAGGGTGGCCATCACGCCATTCAACTCAGCCCAAAACTTCTCAGCAACGATCAAGGTGTCGTCCAAGGTGTGGCCGCGGTCGGTCGTGGCCTTTTGCACATCGCTCCATAATTTATTAAGCTTTTCTAACTTGCGCTTGATGTCTTTCACCGCCGGATCGGCCCTGTTACCAGCCTTGCTGATCACGTCGTCTGCGGCTTTCTTCACGGCCGCGTAAGCCTCGGATCTCTGGGCGAGATCGTCCGCCAACGCCGCGTTCTCTTCCATTTGGTCACGCAGACGTGTGGGATGGGCACTGATGGGTTCAGCGCCGTTTACCTGGTCGGCGGTGGAGGACAACGCACGCAACATACCTTCGAGCTTATCCGAGAACTGCGAGGATTCCTGTAGGGCTTGTTCTAGCGTCTGTTGTCGAGCTCTGAGTTCAGCTCTCAATGCTGCGTAGCGAGCATTGTCGTTCTCCAGAATGTCTTGCACCTTCATACCTTCCTCCTCGTTGCACAACTTGATAAGAGCCTCGCCGGTCTTGTTCAGCTTCTCTACCAGAGGTTTGTGCTCGTTGATGCTTTGTATGAGAAGTTCGTTCTTGTCTTGTTGCACCGCTATCAAATCGGGTCGTAAAGCAGGCATGGGTAGCATGGCGACTTGCTGTTCAGCTTCCTCGAGCCAGCTAACTAAGCCAGCGTGAGTATCGCGAAGATGCTCAGCCAATGGTAATGCTTGCTCCAAAGCTCCCAGTCTGTCTGTCGAGAGACCCGAGACTATCTCCATTGTTTCACGAAGATCTTCCATCTTGTCTCTGATTGTAGACGTGTCTTCATGCTGAGTACTTTCGCGTATCACCTTCTTCGCCGTTGAAATGACATCTCGGACTCTACCCTTTTGGCTAGATATGTCATCGTTGAGCGCTTTGTGCTCTTTTAATTGCACTCTGATGATTTCGGGCTCGCTGCTGGGCGGTTCAGCCTCTCGCAGCTGATTGTCGACCTCACGGAACCAATCAAGCAGGTCATCAATATCTCCGATTACCTCCAAGGATCGCTGCTTGCTCAGCTGAATTCTTTCGGCCTTCCTTTGAATTTGTTCGGCGATCGCGTCGAACCGCCTGTTATCTCTGGTCACAAGACCCTCGATGGTCGCGGCACCTTCTCCCGGCGACATTTGGCACAATTGAGGGCCTACTGCGTTGATCTTGTCTAGGACAGGTCTGTATTCGGATATCTCCATCTCGAGTCGGATGATTTCTTCCTCGCGAGGCTCAGCGGACTGCAAGGCGGATTCCGCGCCCTGCATCCAATCCATGAGTCGATTGTGATTATCGTGGAATTGTTGCACCAAAGGCAAAGATTCTTGAGCGTGTTTTAAAAGATCCGAACCGCGCGTGACGAGATCGTTGAAGCGTCGTTGCAGGGAATCCAACTTGTCCTTAAGTTGGAGTGCCTCGTCGCTCGAGATGTGTTTCATCAGCTCCAAACCGCAATCCACGGTACTGTCAACCTCTGTTTGCCGCGTGGAAACCTCTTCGGTGAGATCCGCGAGGTCTTCCATCTGCTGCAAAAGCTTCTCTGTGTGTACAGCCAAGATGCGATACTTGGACAACCGAATCTCCATGCTGTCCATCCATGCTTGTAGGTCTTGATACGTGAGTACCAAGTGACGCAAGCCCTGTCTTGAACGTTGCAGCAAGCTGCCAAGAGCTTCCGATCGTTCGACCAAAGCAGCGTATCTGTCAGCCGCATCTTGAAGCTTATCAGCTAACGTGGCGGCTTCATCTTCGCCCACGAGCGACATAAGTTGGCTGGCTATCTCCGTAAGTTCGCTGAAATCTGGTGTCTTGGATATAATGTCCTCATGAAGCATATCATGCTCACTGACACGTTGTTGTATTTTTTCTTCGTCAGTAGGCACCAATTCCATATCCCTCACTCTCTTCTCGGTCTTGTCCAACCAGATCGCGAGCGGCACTAATTTATCTTGGAACTGCTTCGCCACTGCCATTGCCTGCTCGAGCGCGTCCATTCTCTCCGCGGCACTCTCCGTCAGATTATCGAATCTGCCTACCAGATTGTTCAATTGTTTCTCGATGGCTTTACGCTCTTTCGGGTCTGCGTCAGCAGCTACTTCTTGTCCCATAGTATAAAGGGACGACATAGAATTCTGACGGTCCAACAGCATCTTCTTCAAGAACTTTTGTTCCTGCAGCTGCGCCTTGACGACTTTGTAATCCGAGGATGGCGGTTTCTGATTTGAAACCATCTCTTCCGTATCGGTTAGCCACTTCTCTAAACCGTCTAAAGCCTCTTGGAACTTGCCCGACTGCAGCAATCCGACGTCCAATTTGCGATCTCGCTCGTTCAACTAGAGAAACAAACAGTTATAATTAGAATGGTAACAAAATTACGTCTATCCTGTTTCAATTTCCTTATCAGTTACAAATTAAATTTGCGTAACATAATTGTATTTGTTCAATATGCTTTAAAGTTTGATCTAGTTTTAGTCTAAAACTTTATTTGGATCTTATTTAGTATTTTAATTAGATTTTTAATCCAGAAAATTAATACCTGATTATGGATTAAATACTCACTCGGTCTTTCAGATCATTCCATCTTTCGTTCATTCTATCGACATCCTTCTCGATATTACTGGTGTTGACATCTCGTCCCGCAGTTTGTATGAGACCTTGACCAAGCGCATTGCACTCTTCAACAGCGTGCGCCAGTGGCTCGATCTTTTTCACTTTGAGAGCCCTGAAGTCTTCCTGCTGAACTTTAATCGAATCTACTTCGGATCCAACAGGCTTGAATTTCCTCACTTGCTCGTTAGCATCGCTAATGCCTTCCATAACGTCCGCGTGCGATTGATAAAATTCTTGCAATTTATTCAAAGTGGCAGTGAGTTCGTCCTCTCGAGTACGCGCACGCTCGTCTAGCTTTCCAATCTGTCGTTTGAATCCTTCAACTTGATCTCTGGTTGCTACAGCGTCAGCGGCGAAACCGTAATCGACTAAACGTTCGCCGCGACTCTCCAAATCGCCAATTTCCTCGTAGAGTTTCACGATCTTGCCGATAACTTTGGCAATATCTTCCAATTGGCCGCGAACGATCTTAATTTCTCTGCCAGGTGCCTTCATTGAGTCTAGATCTTTCTCCAGAGCAGACAGATGTTGACTGATCAATTTCGCCTGATCATTGAACTGCGCGACGGCTGTTGCTGCGCTTTGCAACTCGTTACATCGGTCGTCTAGTTTCGCTTGCAAGTCATTAATGCGATCCGTGACATTGTCGATTTCGTCTTGTAGATGTGATGCATCGACACCTTGTTCACTAGCTTTGTTCACAAGATCGTTAGCCTGTTGTCTCACGCATTGCAAAGGTTTCTTCAAGCTCGTTGTTTCTTCTCGCAAATTCTGAAAATTACAGTTATATTGCTCTATATCTTGTGTCGACAGTTATAATTATAGTAACGAGATAACATTAAAAGCAAATTACTTTTATTCTATCGAGAAGTTTTGGATCTTTAGCCGCGCCGCCAAGAGCATCGTGCGAAGCTAACTTATCTTCGCAACGCTGTAAACCATGCTGCAAGTCGCGCAAATTCTCGTTGAAATCCATCAAGTGACGTGCGGTATCCTCTAAAGACTGTGTTCTAGATAGTAAGTCTGAAAAAATTAATTTAATTATAATATTCTCGTACAATATACAAATTATAAAGTACGAAGTATTTGTTGGTACAAAAAGTTTGTTATATTTACCAAATCAAATAAAAACAAAATTATCTAATTTCGAAGGATTAATCATTTTTACGAATAAAATAAACGACTCGATATTTTTGTAAACATCCAGCGAAAACTAATATAAAGTTTTTAAATATAGTTCTTATGAATGTTCAAATAATCAGACGTACCATTATTTAATTTATCCCATCTGGTTTTCATGGCGCCAAGTTCGTTCTTTACGTTCTGTTTATCGATGTCGCAAGCTCCGACGAATGTCTCGCCGAGCGTCTTGTTATTCTCAAATTCTCCAGAATGCTTCCATACCTCGTTCCTGAACGACGACAATTCCTTCAATTGCTTCTCAATGTCTTTGCGTCTAAATGAGGTTGGAATTAAACTATCCAACTTGTCTTCGGCCTGTCGGAGCCACGGAAGAAACACGTCTTGAGCCTTGTAGTATTTCTTACAATGCTCTGCGCAGGTTTGCAATCTGGTATGCCTTTCGACGGTATCCTTCTTCAAACGGTCCCATTGCGATTGCATTTTGTCTAAATCGCGTTGAAGTGTGCGGTTCTCTGCTTTCTGCGATCGCGCGAGTATGTCACGTCCTTTATTCAGCAGCATTATGACTTCGTGCTCTTTACCCATTACATTTCGATACACGGGCTAAAAACAACATTGTGATTGTATAAAGCAAAAATAAACATTTCACATTTTTCTTAAACGTCCATACATACCTCATGATGGTCAAGCTGTTGCTGCAAGATTTCTCTATCAGCGGATACCAGTAGCTTCTCAGACATGTTACCGAGTTCGTCCGCGAGCCATCCAAGAGTCCGACTGCAAGAAGCCTCGAATTGTCTACCGTCTCGAAGGTTACCTTCGATCTCGGCCTTTCTATGATCCAACTTCTTTTGTAGGTTATTGTACAGTTTTCCCAATACAGCAAGCTTTCCTTGAATCTCGGATTTTGATGCTGGGTCGCTCAGAATCTCGCACAGTTGTGCACCAGCCATTTCCGCGTCTGCTAACAGCGGTCTCTGTCCTTCTAATTGCCTTTCCAGATTCTCAATCTTACGAAGCTGTTCCTCGGGATCCTTCTCGAGAGTCAATTCATCCAAGTTGTCTGAAATGCCTTGTAGAGCATCTCTTAGCCGATTGAGGCTGGCATCAAATTCACGACTAGTATCAACAGCGTCTCCCAAACTTTGCGCTCTTTCATCCAATCTGCCAACTTGATCAGCCCACCTCTGCAAAATGCTCTGCAATTTCGCGTTGATCTTCTGCCCGTCCGCAGAATCAACAGTTATCGTGATAAGAATGCTCTCCCCAACTTGCACCAGATGATCCAACTGCGGTTGCTGCGTTCTGAATTCCTCTCGAAGGACTTGCACTTGCTGCACTTGGCTCGCGACCATGCGAGGATCGGACGAGATAGGTCCCAGAGCACCCAGCATACGTTCTTTGGCGCCAAGCCAAGAATTAAGACCCTCGTATGTATCATAAAAATCTTTGATGTCTTCCAAGAATTTGATTCTGTCCTTGCATCTGTCCGATATCGATCTCCACCGGCTGGCGACATCTTCCATTTCGTCGTTCAACCTGTCGACACCGTCCGCTCCTTTTTTACGTCTGACCAAATCACGTACTTGTGTCCGGGTGCTGTCCAATAGAGACTGCTTCTCGTACATCTCCTCGACGAGAACCTTGACTTGCTTGGCTGTTTTATCCGCGTCGTCTTTGGTGGCCGGCATACTCTCCTTAGGCAACTGCCGCTGTATCTGGTACAAATATTTACTTATACTATATTGCGCGTGTAACAAGGAATATTTTTTGTAGAAAAGAGAAAAAGATACCTTATCCAGGAATTGAGAAAGTATTTTTAAATGTTCCAAATGTTTCTTTAATTCTTCCTTGACGTTATCTAATTCCGTTTGACGATCTGTCAATCTAACGCCAAGCAATCCGTATCTGTGATTGATTTCCGAAAGTTGCTGTTGAACTGGCGACAAATCCTCTAGATGGAAGCCATCTTGGCTCGAACGCCGACTGCTGAATCCACTGCTACCACCTGGGGAGACCGGACTTTGAACTGCGTAGGATTTAGTGGGTGACGGCGAGCGACCGTCTTGTGACATTCGCAGTACTACAAAAAAAATTACAGAAAAAAACGATCAAACGCAATGTAAATGGCAATGATCGTGTGCTGAAAAAGATGCAATGTGAAAGGACACATGAATCATAGTAACGATTCGCACGAAACAATTGGATTGCAAGGGACACAGGACATTCTGTATAATAAAATCAGCAAGTACCTGGTCTCTTAGTCGGGCTAGTGCTACCACGACGACGCGTCGGACTTTCGCCACGTTCCTTCATCAAGCTATCATAGGCGATACCAAGGTCGTTGATCTTGTCAACCGTGTTGCCGTAGTCACGATATTCTTTTTGTATAGGCTTTAGTTCCTCCTGCTGCATCTTAAGTTTGTCCAAGTCTACGGCTACCGGTTCGAGCCCTTGCACCTTGTTCTCTGTACGAGTGAGCCAATCGAGCACTTGGTCCCGCAGCTTCTCATACGCAGTGTGCTGTTCCGCTCGTGATTTACACAACCGTTGTTTCTCGTCGAGAAGATTGTTCAGTTCCTTCCACTGAGATTCGAGCGCCTTGATCTTGTCTCGGATCGCGCCGGCTTCAGTTATATCCTTCTTAGCGATCAGATTTTTTCCATTACGTACGAGATCCTCGAAGTTGCCGCGTTGATCCTCGCGCATGTCTATCAATCGAGCCATCTTAGTCTCGTATTCCGATACATCGAGCTTGCTCAGATCTCTCGAGTCAAGCACCTCCATCATATGAGCGTACCAGCTCTCAAATTTGGACACATCTCCGAGGAACTCGTTCAGAGCTTGTGCTATTTCGTCGAGGAATTCGCCGCGTCTCAGAGACTTGTCCATCAATTTCTCAAATCTGCTTTGTACGTCTTTCAGCTTGCTCTCAATGCGTTTGGCGATGCGAACGTTACTCGAGTTCAGGAGGAGGTCTTGAGCATTAGCCGTGATGGTTTCTACACTCAAACGATGGCTATCCAAGTCCGCCTGGAGCAACCGCTGTTCCCTTTGCTGCTCTTCCAGGCGTTCCTTCTGCAAACTCGCTGGACGTTGAAGTGATCTGTACAGTCAATTTATATATTAATAAAATCTTCGTTAATTACTTAGAAACATAATACGCAGAATTTATATTATTACATTAATTTGTAATTTATATATATATATAATACTTCAATAATCATATACTTACTTGAACTGACTCTCAACGTTATTCAGCCATGCAACCAGACCGTCCAATGCATCTTGCACTCCTTGACTTCTCACTAACGCTGTATCCAGTTCTTGACATTTCTCAGCCAAGGCATTGCTGAGTTGTTTGTATTTATCTTCCAGAGCTTTTACCGGTTCCTCGAGATTGTTAGCCTCGTTGATTGTCAGTTGGCCTTCCAAAGAATGCAATAAAGCTTCAACGCTGTGTTTAGCATTATCGACCAAACGTTCATTAGCAAGGAATTCGTTGTTCAACGCCTTAGCTTTGCTCAATTGGTCCTCCACTTGTTTCGGTTCAGCAGCAATTGGCTCGGAGATAACCCTGTGGACCTTAGGTTCGACGTCTCTCAACCATGCTCTAGCTTTTTCCAAGGAATCATGGTAATCTCTTTGTTTGCCACCAACTCCAGACAGCCTATCTGACAGGAGATTTGCTCGGGACAGCAAATCTTTATATTGTGCTGTCGCGGTAGACACCTCAGCTCGTACCGGCGAATCCTGGCTGGCTGTAGGCTCTTTGTGCGGTAGTCTTTGCGGTAAGCTGGTTCTGAAGTCATTGAGAACCTGAAGATACTCTTTACTCTCATCAACGAATTTCTGCGCCGCCATTGTGATGAATCTTAGATCCGCTTGATGAGCAATCACATCGCTGATGAAGTCGCGTGTGGTGTCCGTACTACTGCTTAATTTGTTCAGGTCGGATAAAGAACGCTCTTTCTCCTCGAGTATGCTTCGGGCTTTTTCTAACCAGATCGAGAATGTCGTGAGCTCATTCCTGGAAAGAAAGAAAATTAAAATAGTTATATAAACACAGAAAATACTACAATACTCAAAATAATTAAAACAAACAGTATTTACTTGAATTTCGTTAGCTCGTCTCTGGCGCCAGTGAGACGTTTTACCAATTTGTCAGCACGATCTAGCGCTTTGTCGAATCGAGTCTTTAAAGATCGACCATTCTTCTCCAGCGTGGACACTTCGTCACTAGATAACACGTTGCTGCCAGTTAATACAACTTGCCGGATCTGATCTAAGCAGGATGAAACGGGCCGATTGTGCGTTTCAAGATCCTCCTTGATCTCCTGCAATTAAAATTATATTTCACATTTAATTACGTGATCCTTTGAACAAACATATTTGCGAATGTCTGATTGCTGCACTTACTTTCATGATAAGTATCTGCTTCCTTAACTGTTCGACGTCTTCTTTGACGGTATCTTGATTCGCCAGCTTGTTCTCGATCTCTGAGATCCATTGCAGGAGCTTAGACAACGTCTCGTCGCACAGTTTATATTTCTCCTCCACCGCTTGCTAAAACGAAGTCGAAGGAAAATCATACATTTAAATTTGTTCATGCACAAGCATATTTAGAATCTAACATGCTATACAAAAAGTAAACCACTGAAAAATATCGTCATCTTACCAATGACGACAGCTATCGCATTATTTAACGAGAATTAAAGAAACATAGGTAAGCTTACGACATATCTCACGCATGCAAACACAGGCACACCTTTTAACGTACAGGTAAATACAGTATTAAATGGTAGCTTTAATTTATCTGCAAGAACTGCATATCTGTCGTATCGGTTTTTTTCATATGCAGTTTAAAGCATAAACGATAACAGTATGAAATCACGTGGTTTGCGTAATAAAACACGTTCCAACAAGCAAATAAATTAAAACGCACAATGACGTGTAGTAACAACGTGTGATGGCACTGTAATATAATAATGCATAATAATGTATGATACAGTAATGTACAACGTGGAGAAATTCCGGCTAACTCATGCTAGCGAAAACATAGGTTCGTGATAAGAAAACATAATCATACCTGAAAAAAAAGGAAAACATTTAAGTGTATAATTAATAATAATTATCATAACTCTGAACACAGAAAGACACAAATATTAAAAACTAGTTGGATTAAAAACGCATTAATTAACAAGTAAAAATCGTCAGAAATAAGATTCTGTACACTTTTGTTAATTTTATTACGATGTGTTAATCGTAGAAGAATCCCTTCGAGGATCGGCGAATAAAACCGATCACTGTGTTTTCTAACAATTTAACCCTTCCCTGTGTAATTTGCTTATTGTAGAGTTCTTTGTAAATTGTTAATTGTAGAAATCTGCATGTTTTTTACGTCCATTAATAACATTAGTAAATATTATAGTTATTGTATCTCGATTATATACTGTCAAGTGTTTCACGTTTTTTAACACTACATTAAAAGTGTTTTGACGGCGTAGTGTGTTAATCGATCTCTGGTCGTTCCATTATTCACTACCGTTTTATTTTCCATTGTAACTCGATCGTATTTGTCATATTCTCTTTCCTGTTCAATAATATATTGAATTTATTCGCCATAATCGTCTGTCACTTTTATTCCTGATGATACTAATATTTCACAGAGAACAATGAAAGGCAATCATGAAAATTATGCTTACACGTTCTTTTAGTGTTCGTTCCTTTCTTTTCTCTTTCTTTCGAGCAGATGTTAATTTTGAATGAAAATTAAAAAAACTGCCAATTTGCGAATTTTCTTTCTCTTGCACATGCTTGTTACGCGATGTAACAATGTCTTGTTACGCTATTAGTATGCTCAGCGAGTAAATGTTTCTCTCAATTAGTCTTTTCCCCTCTCAATTGGACCCAATCGTAACTGATTCGATGTACGTGATCCACTTACTGAGTAATGATTATAATTTTTCTGAGGCTTCTTCCAAAACATGTTATACAAATGCAACTTTCAGATTACACTGCGCACACAAGACGATGAAAATTTCACCGTGAAAAATAAGGTAAGTGAGTTATTAAATTATAGATTAATGATAAAATTATAGATTAATGCTACTTAATTTATTAAAAAGGGGGGAATTAGCGTTGTTGATGCGATAAAACGGCTTGGGATTAATGATATTCTGCGTGGTGAAGGAGAGAAGATTGTTCATGATGCGATGTACGGTATTTCCAATGGATCTACCGATTACAGTGGCGAGCCCTCCCTTCGAGGGAGCATACGCGATGTCCGATTAGTGTCGTTTCGTGATGATACTCGACCTTTACTGAACCCACGTTAAATGAAGATAAGCACGAAAGCGAGTATGGTATGCGCAATGAGAGACGGTCTGACGATGAGGTAAACCATTGGAAGCGAGCATTCCGATAAAAGGAAGCACGGGGGTGATCTGTTTCGATGGGGCGAAAGGAAAAAAAGAGATAATACCAGAGCGAGAACGATTCTTTCACTTGCCCATGCACATTACGCGTATTATTTCTCTCGATTTTCGACGAAATATATAAAAACGTCATGCCAGTTGGAAAACAATGATGATTAGAGGTCCATGCGGGACCACGTGTCAGCAAGCGTCTCTCCTCGCGATCGATCGATGAAGATATAGAGAAATTCACGTCAAGGCAGGCAATAAAATGATGATTGTGACGAAGAGAATTACATGAGGTAAACGTAATGCCGATTTGCGCGACAATGTAATGATGATCACATCCAACTTTCAGGAAGCTGTTAGAAAGAATCGTGAGTGGAAAAACAGTAGCAACGTAAACTCGGGTGAGAAAATGATAGAGGTACCCAAACAAGGAAAAAAAGAATCAAACGAACGAGAAAGACAAAGAAGAGCTGTCGGTTGCTGGTTGCGAGAGACGCGAGTTTTATAAAAAGACTGGTCCTACTTACCCTGGCTTCTGCGGCGAGTATATAACCCCGTTCCAAGGCCTTCACGAAGTCGATACTCTTGCCGTCCGTGTCTTCGACTAACCTGCCATCTACGGAATCTACCTTCCCGCTATTCACTGCCTCTAAGAGACTCACGATATCGCCCGTGAAGGGATCTCTGATCACAGTGGTGGACGGATCGATCAGGCCCGAGTCGATCGCGTCCGCCAGTGTGAGACGCTTGCGATCTAATACGGAAGTGACAACGAAGGGATCGTGAAAGCTGCCTGTAGTGGGATTGTAGAGACCGAATTGCAACGCCTCGATGAATGAGACGCCGTTCCTCGGTGTGATCAACAGGCCGGTCTCCAATGCCCGTGACAGGCTGTACAACTTGGACGTGGCCGTATCCAGCACATTGCCCTTCTCCGCATCCATCATACCCTTGCGGAACGCCTCCGGCAACTTCACCAGTTTCTTCTTCTGCGAATCTTTGATCAACGCCGAATCAGAGTCTACGATACCGAGACCAACCGCCTCCTTCAGAGTCAATTGCTCACTCGTGATCGGATCCGTGAATTTGCACGAGTCCAAGGATAGATACTCTTTCTCAACCGCCACATCGAAAGCGATGGGCTCCCTAACAAACACTGTGACTTCTCCGAAACGCAAGAAACGCGGCTCTCTCTTGCCGTTGCCATTCATCAGCTCGACCGTGCCTTTAACTGAGGGATCCACAACATCATCAGCTATCGCGCGCGCTGTCGTAACGAATCGACCGGTTCTGGGGTCTCGCACGACCGATGTGTTCGGATCAACTAACTCATAGTTGATCGCTTCCTCCAACGTGCATTCCCGGACACTTCTGTCGCCGGGTCCGGCTTTGAAGGCTTCCAGAGACGTTCTGTGCACCGACTGTTGCGCCAGGGGTTTGTCTATCGTTACCAACAGACCTCGTTCCAACGCAACATCGATATTGAAGGCACGAGTCGTCTTGGGATCTAATATCCTGCCCCGAGGTACGTCGACCGTACCATCTTCAATACCCGCCAACAGCGTCTTGATCTGTCCCGTTGTCGCGTCCTTTAAGGCGGTAGTGTCAGGGTCTATGAGGCCGCAGTTGATCGCCTGAAGTAAGTCATGATATTCGTTGGCGACGGGATTTGCAAATTTGCCGCTGTCGCCACGATAAAAGCGACATTTTACGGCCTCTTCGATCGACAATGGCGTTTTCGACGTGACGATGAGACCTTTCTTCGTGGCGTCCAACAGATCGATCGTTTTGTCGAGCTCGCGGATGACGTATGTACCGCAAATGTCATCAACAATGCCGGCGGTAATTGCCTCTGCCAGCTGCATGTATTTGTTCGACCTGGTGCACTTGACGATCGACGTCAGAGGATTGATCAGGTCCACCTGACACGCCTCACTCAGCGTCAGTTTACGATTGCTGGTGGGATGCACGAACTTACCCGTGCCAACATCGTACATATTCATTAAGATCGACTCGTATAGACCGAAACCCATGCTCTCAATATCGACGATCAGGCCGAGTTGCAACGCGACCGACAAAGAAACCGAACAACTAGCACCTGATTCCTTGAACATGCCGGTGCGCCTGTCTATCACGCCGGCACGACACGTCTCGGCCAACGACAACAACCGTTCGCCGCGTTTGTCCCAATAACACGGCAACGTGGGACTGATGACACACTTTCTCATTGCCTCGTGCAACGTCACGGCCCTGCCCGTGCTAGGATCCGTGATCTTACCGGTGTTATCGTCGTACAGTCCTTGATGAATAGCGCGTTGTAAAGACACAGCGGCTCTACTGTCGATGATGAGGCCGGATTCGAAGGCATCTCTTAAAGACACATTTCTGCCCCCCTTATTAGGATCCTTGAGGTAACCGGTAATGCCATCCACGTAATCCAACTGTATAGCCTCCATCAGCGTCATTGTCTTCCACACATTGGACCTCGTATCTTTGACGGTGACTGAATCGGCGTCTATTAGATTCTTCCGAATGGCTTCTAGAACCGTTAAATAAGTGCCCGTTTGCGGGTCAAGGAACTTGTTGGTCTTATCGTCGAGAATACCCTTCGAGATCGCCTCGCTGAAGCTCATAGGTCTTCTAGTTTCGAGCAGTAGACCGCGTTCCAGCGCTTCCTGGAAGTCCACGGGAGGTCCTCTCGCGTAGCTGACTGTTCCGGTTTTGGGATCGACTATCGACGTCTTGATAGCCTTGTTGAATGTCATTACGTCGCCATTAGGGTCTCGCACAATTGCGGTCGTGGCGTCTATTACACCCATCTTGATTGCGCGGTCGGTAGGAAGCTTCTCTTGTGTATCGGGCACGGTGAACTGCCCAGTTTTAGGGTCATATAAGCCCTTGAAGACGGCTTCCGGTAGGGATATCTTGCGTTTCGCTGGCACTATGAAGCCGCGATCCAATGCATCGGTTAACGAAAGAGGTGTACTGGTGCACGGGTCCACAGCCGTGCCGGTCTTCGCGTTGATGAAGCCGTGCTTGATGGCGTCGCCCAGCGATATGATGTCACTGTTTCGTGGGTCCTTAATCGACGGACTGTCTTTACTAATGAAGCCCTTCTCAATTGCGTCCTCTAAGGTATAGTTGTTTTTGTCAATATAGAAAGTACCAGATTTCGGGTCGTAAACTTGAAGAGCCAAAGCCTCCTGCAGCGTCCACGGTTTTACAGTGCTCAAGATGTACCCTTTCTCGAAAGCGATGTCCAGTGTCATCGCATGTGGATACGTCAGCGTCCCTCTTACTGGATCAACCAGTTTGCTGTCTTGCGCCTCGTCCAAGGAGATAACTTGATCTTTTCTGTCGTCTTTGACCACTGTTGTGGTGCCATTGACGTAACCTACGGCTAAAGCCTCCTTCAGCGTCAGATCCTCGCCCGTCATGGGATTCAAAACGAGGCCGGTCTTCGGTGAGTAGTATTCCTGAACGATCGCGTCGATCAGCGAAGGCACGAATGGTGTTGTGATAATTAAACCTCTGTTAAGCGCAACGTCTAAAGATAACAATTCTCCCGCTTTCGTATCGCGCAAACGACCTGTGCTGGGATTTAGTAGGTTCACCGATAGTGCATCGTCCAGCGAAACGGACGATCCGGCCTTCGTATCCTCGATTTCGGTAATGAAAGCATCGACGACACCTCTGTGAACACTCTCCTCGACGTCGATCGACTGTTTGGTCAGTGGATCCTGTATCTTACCCGTATTAGCGTCATAGAGACCTCTCCTGATAACGGCTTCCAGTGAGATCGGCTTACGAGAGGTAGGCACAATCAAGCCTCGTAGGAACGCAGTAGTAATGTCGATTTCTGATCTCGTCTCTATATTGATGACGACGCCCTTACGAAGATCCACGACACCAGTCTCCAATGCCTCCGAAAGCGGCACGATTTCGTCAGTGATTGGATTCCTGACGCCAAGCACATCAGCGTCGATGACGCCCGTGTCGATAGCTTCGCTCATGGACAACGCTTCTCCCGACTTAGGATCTAAAATCGTTCCCGTGATTGGATTGCACATACCAGCGTCAATGGCTTCCTGCAAGCTCAACGGCAGTGATTCCTCCGTGAGCTGTTCCTCCTGAGGCTCGTCCTCCGATTCTTGCATGATCCATCCCAAACGCACTGCCTCAAAGAACGGTATCTTCTTGCCGGTCTTCGGGTCGACCATGTAAGCGACATTACGGTCCACGAGAGGTCTACTAATCGCCTCATGCAGTCGCACATATGAGTCCGAAGACAAGTCTTTGACGAATACTCTATCGGGATCGAATACTCTGAGGTTCAAGACCAAATCGTTAAATGAAGTGACGATACCAGTCTCTGGGTCCAAAAATTTCTCTCTCACTGGATCGAACACGCCGAGCTCCGCGAGAATCTGAGGTGACAGTTCCTTCGTGATAACTACCGAAACTTGCCTGGGAACATCTTCGTCTGCGATTTCCTTTACTTCATCGTCATCGTTCGTCTCTACTTCTCGCAAAAGTTTCCTTTCCTTTTCAGATAAAGAAAGATCGTCAAGTACAATCTTGCGAACGACTACAGCGGGTACGCTTTCTCTTAGAGGCAATTGAGAGACAGTTACTCCTGCTTTGGTTGTCGAAGGTGTCTGTTCCAGCACCTTTGCTGATGTTCCAGCACTAACCGCGCTTGGTTTCTCGCTTTCTTGAGAGACACGCGCCTCGTTATCGTGAGAATCGATCCGAAGAGGCCTCTGGGTAATTCGGATTTGTGTTGAAGAGATCTCTGTAGGCGATCTTGGTTCCTTCTTCGCTGCGGGTGATTTCGCCGTCGTAGGCACATTCGCCTTAAACTCCTTGGATTTGTGACTTGTGATCGCGTCAACGATAGCTTTCCCAGCGAGTACTGGCGCGGCGACTACCGCGAGAAGACCTAGTTTCGTGGCTTCCGCTATGCTGATCGGCCGATTCTTCTCATCACGTACAGTGCTCATCTTACCAGTGTCGGGATCGAGCAGACCTTTCTCCACTGCCTCTTTTGTGGTAATAGATTCTTTGGTCTTTACGTTATATAGCACAGAATCTGGCTCGATCAAACCTACCTTCATCGCTTCCGTCAAATTATAAGACTCCTTCGTCTCGGGATCTTTGAATGTTCCCGTCTTCTCGTCGTAAATCTGCTCCACTGCTTCCAACACGGTCAAACTACCATTGGACGATTTCCTGGGTGATTCGCTCTTGGTGGAGGAGGAAGTATCGAGGATTCCTTCCTCGACGGCTTTGGAGATGGGCATTGTAGCGCCGGTACAAGGATTAGTGTAAGTACCAGTCTCCATGTCCACGAATCCTTTCTCCACTGCGTGATCGAAGGACATTTTGATATCCTTCGTGGTGAACTCCTGCTTGCTCTCAGACTCGTCCTTAATAATGCCTCTTCGTCGAGCTTCGTCGATAGCGATGATATTACCGGTATTAATGTCTTGCACTTCCATTGCACTCTTCAACGCGTAACCCGGCAAGAGCTCGACGGTTTTGGTCGTGATGGTGTGATATGATGTAATTGTCTCGGTGATAGCGGCTATCGCGTTTCCGCCGTCAGCTGGCGGTTTGATGATGAGCAGACCGGATTCAACAGCCTCGGCTATAGGGATGGGAGTTCCCGTAGTGGGATGGAAGAACACGGCGTTGTCACGGTCGATCAATCCCGATTCTAAAGCCTTCGTGATTTCTATGCTATCGGGAGCCACTGGATAAGGCAACGTCATGATGAAATCTCCCTTTATAGCTTCCTCCAACGGCAGGTGCTCCCCAGTGATCGGGTGACGTACTTCTTTCTTGCTGGTGTCTATTAAGCCGCGTTTCAACGCAACAGGAAACGTCATGCCCACTGGCGGTATGTCGGAGGATTCGGTCGGTTCCTTTAGCTGGAATACCTTGTTCTCTATCGCCTTTACTAGATTCACGCTGCCGCTCTGAGTTTTTACTAACGATCTGTCCGCGTCGATAGTGTCATTCGCGATCGCGGACTGTAATGTCTCCATGTGACCGTCGACGGAAAACATGAGGTTAGACAAAGGATCCACTATCTCGCAAACTATGGCCTCGTTGAGAGTGAGGTGTGCTCCTGTCTCCGGATGTACGATTTTACCTTCCAAAGGATCTAACAAGCCTTGCCTGTATAAGCTGTGCACAGACAGGCTTTTCGCCAAGGGTACCAGTATGTGCGCGTTCTCCGGGTCTAAGATTCCGCGATCAATGGCCTGCTTGATGCTGAGCACGTCGCGCCGCTGAGGATCCATGATCTGTCCTTGATCGGCATTGATTCGATTGTCACGAATAGCCTCCGAGAGGGTGATCGGTTCTCCTTCTTCGTTGCACATCTCTTTGGCAAAGGCATCCGCTGTCTCCATGTCGATCAGACCACTCTGTAATGCTTCCTCGACCTTCACTATTCTCTTTCGCATTTTCTGGAGGACAATAGGCTTCGCCTCTCGTTCGGGACTCTGCGACATGGTCCTCGCTTTGCCGATAGTAACCTGATATCTTGGTTCGACCGTAACTCGCGCCCTTGTCTTTGTGCCCAAACTCTCGCCGTCTGACAAGTCACTGCTGAATTTCATCGAGTCGCTGGAAGTGACATTTTTCGTATCTTCTTTAGACAATATCTTCGTATCTTCTTCAGCTATCTTTTCAGGTTCACTGTATATGATTTGCGAAACAGTTTCGTTCTTATTGTTAGGCATACCACTCGTAAATTCGACAACTGGTGAACTTGCGTTATCGTCTGTCTTTGGGATTATACCACGTTCAATGGCGACTTCCCTCGGTATTTTCTTACCAGTCACAGGATCTTTCACCATCGTTCTCTGCACCGCTTCTACAGCAGCCGCTGCGGCGGCAAGAGGAGCGCCGAGAACCGACACCACTCCAAATTTCGCCGCATCGAGCAGCGAAATCTTCCTGCCGTCGTCGATCTTGTATTCACGTGTATTCAAATCGAGAATACCACGATTCACAGCGTCTGCCATATCGATATCTTTGCCCGTCGTTGGATCCTTGACGACTACTGTGGCGGGAGACAGCGTACCCTCAGAAATAGCAGTCAAGAGATTCGTCGATTTGCCAGTCTTTGTGGAGATTACTAGAGCCGTTCCGGGATCGTAAATTACTCCTGGAGTCACCTGCACGGGATCCGGCATCGAGATTTCGTCGGTTGTCTTGATTTCTGTTTGCTGGGAAGGATCGCCGGCACGTGTCAACTGCACTATGTCTGGTTTACCCGACACCCTCGTTATCTGAAGAAGTCGTTGATTGGTGTTGTCATTCTCTATGCTCGTTCCACTTTCTAATATAACCAACCCGTCCGCGATCGCTTCCTTCATTGAGATTTTTTGCGGGAAATTGTAGTGACCCGTCGAGTCCAAAATATTCTTCTCCAAGCTTCGTACTAAAGACACTTTCCTTCCGTTATTAGGATCGATAACAAAGCCGGAGTTCGAGTTAATGATCTGAAGCTTGATGCATTCTTCGAAAGAGACCAATCTGTCGGTGCCAGGGATTATGAAGAGGCCTGTTGTGGGGTCGAAAAGTTTCCTATCAATAGCTTCGGATAATGTCCAGCCGTCTGTAGGCAATTCGAACACTCTTTTATCGGTATAAGCATGTTCCTTCTCGAATCTTGAGATCTCGGAGATATGGCTAATGGGTGTAACTGATACAGTCTTCCCTTCTTCCATCGGTTTCTCATCGGATGGCGATTTAGAAGCACCTTCATGAGTCACTGTATGCGTCTCCTCCAGTGAACTCGATTTCGACGTGATCTCGGACATCCACTTGCTTGACTCGCTAACCTTTGTGGAAGACAAATCCTTTACATCAGTAAGTGCAGTCGAGTCCCTCACGGAAGAAACAGAAACGACGGAAGAAGCAGTCGTCGATGACGGTGCGATCGTCATCGTAACAGAAGACTCCTTCGTCGGCGTGGAAGACGCTCTTGGAGCTATCTCTTTGGTAATGATAGTAGTGACCGTTCCAATCGCCCTCGGTGGCGAACTGCTTCTACGACTTGTGAGCACGTCGTCGACGTCCGCCGTGAAAGTGCTTTCGAAGGTCGTGCGTGACGAATCTAAAGTGCGTTCTCGAGACGAGTGTGCAATGTGTCGGGTAGCATCATCGCCGAGCAAGCTCTGCTCAATGGCGTCTTCGATGCTCATCGTTACTCCCGTGTCGGGATCTCGAAACTCGTTTGTACTTTCGTCGATGAAGCCGCTGTTCAATGCCTCTTCGTAGCTAATCTTGTAGTCTCTTGTTACCTCACCAGTCTCCATTACCGTCACGTACCTCTTGACGGTCTTTGTGACAGTCTGCGTGGTGACAGCGATATTCAGCAGGCTGGTGAGCAGCGCGGCACCGTCGGGCGTGATCAGGCCGCGCTTGATGGCTTCTTCTAAAGGCACTATCCTCTTGTTACGCGGGTCCAACAACTGACCGGACTTCGAATCGAGCAGTCCGAGCAACACAGCCTCCAACACGCTCACCTCACGCCCGTTCTCGGTGATGCCGATGCCGCGATTCAGCATTTCCAATACTTCCGGCCTAATGTATCCTCGTTCCTCCGCCTCGCTCAGTGATACGGTCTCGCCGGTAGCCAGATCGACCGTAAAAGTACCGCCAGACTTGGAGCTGATCAGGCCTTTCAGCAACGCCGCGTTCAGGCTGATATATTCTCCGGAGACTGGGTCCTTGAAGCCGTCGATGTCGAAGATGGTCTTCTGAGTCACTGACGTGATGAGGCCTTTCTCGACAGCCTGAGGAATAGGATACTCTACGGCCTTCAGCATGTCGCAATACGTGCCTTCATCTTTGATAATACCGCTGTTCAAGGAATCAGCTAACGTGACCATTTCGCCCGTACGAGTATCAACTATGGACTTGACGTTGCCCGAGTCCAAGACACCTCGGGATATGGCTTCGACTATCGTCAGTTTGCTACGATGAGCCGGGCTGGCAATCTTGCCTTTGTCATCGATGATTTCCAGGTCGCAACAGTCTTTAAGCGTCATCGGTTTCACGATGAGCTGACGACGGCGTGCTTCCTTGAACGGTAACTTCTCCATCGACAAGCCATGCATGTATCGGCCGTTCTTGGCGTTCAATATGCCGCACTTGATGGCCTCCGCCACTGTCACTTTGGTGTCGTTGCGTGTGTCCACGATCTCCTTCACGTTCGCGTCGATGATACCTTTGTCGACCGCCTCGTCCAGCGGATAAGACTCGCCGGTGATGCGATCGGTGACACGACCGGACCGATCGTCCACGAGACCCTGCGCGATCGCGTCGGACAGCGCGACGGCGTTACGACTCACCCGGACGGTCACGTCTACCTTGGTAAGGTAACCGCGTGTGTACGCCTCCTCAATCGAGATTCGCTCGCCGTTCTCGACGACCACCTCGCCCGTGGCCGGGTCCAACAAGCCCTCCCTCATCGCATCGACAACGCTAACCCCCGTGGTGCTGACGGTGCTATCGGCACGCTCGTCGTTACGGCGTGTCGTCGTGGTTACCTTTACTCGGTCCGCGATGTCGGCACGCTCGGCGTCGCACAGTTCCCGCTGGATCGCCTCGAGAAGCGACATCACCCGGCGGCCGCCCTCTTCGTCGTTCACCCCGCAAGGACCTAACAGCCGATCGGCCAGCGCAGCGTCGACGAAACCGGCGCGCGCCGCCTCCTCGATCGACATGCTCGACGACGAAGACCTGCCGTCGCTCGATGTCACTATCCTACCGTTCCTAACGTCGAGGATCCGGCGCCGGATCGCCTCGCCTACAGTCAACACCTCACCGCTGCTCGGATCTACGATACCCCTAACGTCAATCACGTTCTCCGCGCTGACAATACCGCCACCCCCGTCCTCGGGCACTCTCGGTGCCCGCCCAAGACCTCTAAGTTCGTTACTGCTAAACTGCGACCCGCCGTCCACCACCGCAGACGAGAAGTCTTGTTGCTGCTGCCTCCTGCTCGAGGAGGAGGAGGCGGTGTTCGTGGTTTCGGTTTCGTACGAGCGCTTGAGGATGCTCGTGCCGGCGACGGTGCCGATGGGCGGTGAAGCGGCGCTCGCAGGGCTCGTGGTCTCCCCATTAGGACGACCCGCGGCGGCCTGCTCCGCGCTGTGACTTCGCCTCGAGGTCTCGCTCGAGAACGTCGTCTCGGTGGACTCATGTCGCTCCGAGGTGTATCTATGGCAATGGCCGTCGAGAGACGTGAATCGCGGTTTATTTACTTATCGTACAACTTATCTCCACACACACATACGCGTGCAGTTGCTTCAATTGCACGTTAATTTTTGTGTAAAAGGAAAAAGAAATAATGTGAAGATTGGTGTCCGCGAAACTTCTCGCAGGCATACTCACTGCGACTGAGTGTAGTGTGTGGTTGTGGAGGTGTAACGCTCCTCGCTGGTGGTGCTTTCATAGATGTTGAACTCGGTGCGGAACGTTCGCAGTGGCCTTTGTTCTTGAAGAACACGCTGAAAATAGACATTTTCGCGGCTTGCAGCAGATACATTTAGTCGTGTGCGTTCTATGTAATATGCATTTAATCGTATGTTATTGCAAAGAATGCCCAACATATGATTACTGTAAAGTCACGGATTTTTTGGTAAATATGCAGTCATTTTTTATTGAATAAACAAAAAGACAGAAAATTCAAATTCCTGATAGATCTAATAAGTAATTCTCAAATTATCTAAAAATCTAAGTATTTTCTCAAATTACTAATAACCATTTTCTCGTGAGTTTCTGATCAATTTAAAGCGTTTGTTGCGCTGGAATCTACTATTTGCCGAAACAACTGACGCGAACAACTCCCCTCGTCCTTCGTCCGATGGAACTTGGCGTATCTAGGTCAAGCCGGCGGTCTTTAATTCCTAAATCGGATTGACGTCTACGTCAGCCACGCTATAACTGTCCGCCACATAATCGCGGCCCTCTCGCGTATAGATTTAAATGAGTCGAGCCACGGCGACGCATAAGTTTACACGACGCTTAAACTGGCGTATAATTGGACCACGTGTCGCGCGAGATCGCTCAACCGAGACGAGACTCTTAAATATAGCCAGCGCTCACGCACCGCCGTTACCGACTCTTACGCAAAATTCTCCCTCGCTCGCAGCAATGCGAACGATGTAGCCAGCCTGGCCCCTTTAATTGCCTAATGCCGTGAAACGGGCACCGCACGCCGAAACGCGTAATTTCGGACGCAATACGACGGGGCCGGCCTTGCCACGAGGACGTAGGTGTCCGCGGTAGGACTACGTCATTCACCACTTATGTCATCGCGCGGATATGGGACAGTTGGTGTTGACCTTTCATTTTTTGCCGTCAGTTTGTAAATTCGAGGTAATCACATGTAACGGAGATTAACACGGCTCGAAGTCTCGATAAGAAACTTGCTTGCGTGGAAACGTCATCCCGTGAAAAAAACGACGTGATGCCCCCAAGCTGCTATCATCAAGCGCGGTCAGCGCAGAATGCGAACGCGAATTACAAACGCTCGAGCCGGCGATATACATAAATCGTAAAATCCACGATAGTTATTAATAACGTCCGTGAGGGGACCCGTGACCAATTTTACCTGCGTCGTTCAAATCCACCGATCGAACGAGTCGTGTCTGATTAATGTGAGTGCTGACCTTCGGCCGACAGTATCGATCGTTCTTTGTATGATTACACATTGTGCGATGGTCACGGTAATGAAGAATTATGCGACATTTCTGTTTGATTTGCTCGCGTAATGTGTGTGTGTGTGTGTGTGCGTGCATTCGACACGAGTAATCGGCAAGTCGTTCAACTCATTCGCGATGACGTACGCGGTATATTTTGGGACTTATATCGCATTGTCCGACAATTTTGTCGCGGATTGAAGTACACAGTGCACGTGATGTGTTTGACTTTAGGGTTGCATTTCAAAATATCCTTTTTGAGGAAATTTTACTTGATAATATATAGAATAAACTATATTGAATAAAATTTTCCTCGAAAAGGACGTTTTGGAATGCAACCCGAGCATATATGTACACGATCTTAAAAAAACACTATCGCTTGAGTGTATCGACTGGCGCTTCTGGGTCAGTCCGTGCACGCGTTAAAATAAGAATCCACCGTGGTTAGTCACGTTCCTACACGGAAGTAGAAACGCTCTCCTGGGACGGTGACAATGCAATACGCGCATCGGTACACTCGGTACACTCGGTTATTATAAACGGTGGCCACACATTTTCCCGAATGAAGTTGCAGACGCTCCTGGTTGTCACAATTGAGACACGAGAACGTTGGCGTTCGCGCTGCAACCAGTTAATAAAGGGATGTATTTATCAAACCCACATCATAAGTTTTTTTCCACAAGTTTGTGATTTAAATTACGAGAAGTAATAATATTTATTTATAGTATTAATCAAATTTATTTTTACATCCTATACTGTCATTTCGATCATAACTGATTAGCTGTAATTTTATACGGAAAAATGTATGGCCACTGTTTAATAATTGAATCTACATAAGATAAAAACACCTATGGGCATGTACTTAATCCTGGATATTTTTATTATTTTGGATTAAAACACGACTAAGCTACTGAGAGACATAAAAAATACATATATTGAATACATATATTTTATGTTGAAAGTTTAAATATTCATATTTAAAGATCAAAACAATAAGGATGTCCAATATTAAGTACGCGTCCATGAATTTCCCTACTTAAAATGATGAACGTAAAATAATAAGATTACATTATGTTTAGTCTGAATTTCTATCTTATTAATTTACATTAATTCAGATTGAAATTCAAACTAAATCCTACGTAATGTTATTGCTTTTCATCCATCATTTCAAACAGAATAGTACATTTATTTTACTCATATCCTTGCATTTTGCATAACAAAGTGCCGTCGCGAAAATCTACCTCTAACGACATCGGATTCATCGATAAGGCACCGGTGAGTAACCGGTGCGACAGTTTTAGCTTGTCGGATCGTCGTAATCAAACGTGCCGTAGCGAACCGATAAGAGTAATCAGCAATGACTGAGTCAAACGTCAAAGGAAGTTTTAACACACACCGCGAATAAATATATGTGAAAAATCGATTGCAAACTTTGAAGAATTTCGACAAATTCACACATAGAGAGTACGAGGAGCAACATCTTTCTCGTGCCACCTCAAGACGAGACATTGACAAATGAGATCGCGAAGTCTGAAACGCGTCAAGCTCCGGAAAAATAATCGGAATAATAATTACAGAAAATCCGTAACTGACGTATCATTTCTTCTGAAAACCGCACGCGGAGAATATTCCACGCCGTGTCCGTCTGTTTTGGCATGTGTTATTCTACGACTCAGACCTTGGCATTCTACAAGCGACAATCAAGACAGATGAAGCAGCTCTCAAATAATAAACTAGTCTCAAGGTATTCACTGCCCGTAATTTTCCCCGGTTGTCTACCGATGGAACAACCATCTCACGATTGTTGCTCCGACACGTATGCAAGTCGTCAGACACCTTATGGGCGTTTCACGAGTAACAAGTGCCTACTCTCTTAACCATCGTCGCGAGGGAGGATGATTTCGTTAATCAATCATCTAACACGTCCAACTCGGATTTCACTCACGCGACAAGACCCACGTTACCGGTATTCAGCCTCAAACAACGTATAGCACGCGATACACCCGTGCCCGCAATATGTCATTCGTACCTTTCGCACGATCATGATCGCTCACATCGGAGAGTCGCGTTTCTATCGCGCTTACGACGGCTACGACGACGGATTTACTTGCTCGCGCGACCGACGAGCATGCTCGACAGATCTGGTAGACAGTCAATCGCGGCGCAACCGACGGTCCCTCACTGCGGCAGCTCGTCGTTTCCGATGGCGCGGCATCGAAGGAGATGCGAATAGCGACGGTGTCGACGGCGGAGGTGGAGACGGCGGCGGCGGCGCCGCAACGCGACTCAGTAGCGCGTTTAGACGTGGGCGCAATTGGCGCATGTTGCTTAGGACACTCCGCGCCTTCAGGATTTTGGCAAATCAATGCATTCATCGCCTTGAGAAAAGAAATTCACCTTGGTCGACCCGATGATTCCATGCGTGTTTAAACTCGTTAAACGCGTTACACAAGCCTCAAGCACGCGCCTTGATTTTCAACAGGAAACATATTCAGTAGCTTTATTAATTCCCGAATGACGTAAGTGATTAAATGACGCTTGTCTGACCACGGTATTTTCGGGGTCAAAGAGGCTCGTAAATACAATCGTGAAATTCCTGTCGCTTGGACGCTGAACGTGCCGGAGATCGAGAATGCGATTGAATGGACTGGAGATATTCGCTTCTCCAACAAAAAACCATTACATAATTCCCTGTTCACGTTGCTTCTTACATCAGTGAATATAAACAATGTGCTTCAGTGTGTGAATTAAAATTCTCAATTGGGCCTTCGAAAGCGAGAATAAAGAAATGCATGCGATGAATGCATAAATCTGACACACATGTGCATTTTTCCATTTCCTCTCTGTTCGTGTTGCAGCATGCTCTGGTGCATACATAATTAAATTAAATTTAACAATTAGTACACCGTAACACCACACCGGGGGCCTCAACAGGTGTAAACGCGCCACTGTCATTTCGTCTCGTATTTGCGCCGACACGTTGGGTCGACCCTATCGATCCCGCGTGCGAGACCGGCACGAGCGGGAAAGATGAAAAACCGCTCGCTAATCGAGTGAAAGTCGGTCGCATGTCATAGGTTGGTGTTTTGCGCTCACGACAAAGTAGCCTTGAGATATTGCCGGGGTGACGAGCGTGATAGCGAGATCACGATTCTACATCGACGCGCGAGCACACAGTCGCAATTAAAAGAGAAAAAACAAGAAAGAAAAGTATAACTCCTTCCGGCCGGTTTCAGTATTCGATTCCCCCCTCCCCCCAAGGCCTGGTGCGCAATAGTACGGAGAAAAATAGCGGCTATTTCTGATGTCGTCGTCATTCGGAATATAATTATACCTGGTGGAGACGTGGGCACACGGGTTTTCATGAGAGCGCCCGTTCATATTCATTCCTCTCTAGACTCATTAATTTCAGCTTATGTCATTCGCGGTCGCGCACTATTGCGTCGGAGAGTCGGAAGGCTTCAATCAGTCTTAAATCCCGAGACGTCTCTTTCCACCGACGCCGAGGAAATCATTTCGCTCAAGTGTAAGCAAATTCGTGAATATGCATTCGGCATGATGCAACGAGTAGCATATAAACGAGTAGCGAGTAAATAAGCGCGTAAACTTCGAACTGAACGTCGTATCTTCCCTCGGTGTTCGGCAATCGAGGGGATTCAAGATCAGTAGCTATGCAACCTCGTTCGACGTAATAAATTAAACCTTCGCCGCGGCAATATCCTCGCGTGATTAGAAATAGTTCTAACTCGCGTTATCGCGCGCCGTTTGCCGAGTGTCGAAGTGTTACGATCGAGAGTTGAATAGGTGATTCGCTCACTCAACTCACTCCGCGACGGCGGATTCTCGACGTTTATTCATCAGCAATGCAAATTGCAGGCCTTGTCGAAATTCGGTTCTCGGGATTAATTCTGGTCACGGACCGACACGCACCACAGCGCGGAAAAGGTTAAATCTAACCTGAAATAAACGCTAGTTCATTTCGTGTCCGGTTTATAGCTCTTTCAATTCTTTCGATTATTCAGCAATAGCGGCAAAAATATAAACGCCAGACCCTATCCAATGTATATCACTAATAAATAATTCTGTGGAATGCACAGATCATTTTCCGTTCGTAATAAAATTACGAAAAAATAACTGCAATCTCTCCTAAAAAGAAACTGTAAAACATATTAAAGCTGGTTTCGAGCGTATTAAAGCAATGTGCATCGCACTCACCTGCAAGGAAGTGTCTTCAGGATGGAGCAACGCCAGCTGCCTGGCCCGTTCCTCGAGCAGGTTCACGAGGGTCGTGTATCTTCGGTTCAGCGTATCTAGATCGCGCGCAACATTATCGACCGTAATAACGGAATCTCTTCGCGGCCTCTTCACCGATGCGTCCAACGACGGGCAGATATCTTCCAATTGTTCTTTGAACGCTCTGAGCCTTTGTCCATAGATCTAGGGGTTCCGGTTAGTCCGTTATGGTTAGTGCAATTAGATCGGTGTATGTGCGTGTGCCAATTACCGTTAGCCTCCGAAAGCGACAGCGAGAGACGCAGGCGTTACGACCGGAGCCGCACAGCGTAATCGCGCGATTTGCGATTCGCAACTTTGACAACCCAATGTGGTACTTCCAGTAAATATAAGTGCGTTAATACGTAGTTGCCAGTTACTCGGAAGGTATACGTTAACGTAAACGTAATGTGGAACTTTGGAATAATTTTGGGCTCTGCATCGCTGGAGTCACGCGCAGGCATGCGCATAGGAGTCATAAGCGGCGATAAATCGCGCTGTAAGTAAATTACGGTCGAGAAAGAGACAAAGAGAGAGCAGGACGGGGCAGCTGCCTAATGCGAGTAATACTCGTTACATGATATTTCTGGCTATGAATGAATCTTCCCTGCGTATATTAACTGGTCAGGCTTCACCTTGCCGGCTGCGCATGCTGTATACCTCACTGGGTTATCTTATGGATCCAAAGGTCGAAGAAGTATCACAATCGTGTTGCTAGAAGCGCCTAAAGCAGTATATGCGCGGCTAGTATTTGTAAAAACGGACTCTAAATCGTCCGCTAAATTAAGGTCGTGCAGCTCATTCAACCGTGCTTCTGATGTAATTTGAGAGTTAACGAGGTAGTCGTGATTAAGAGGAGAAAGTCCAGCGGTATTATAGATGGCCCGCGCGCTCCTCAGATCATATCATCTCGTGTGTTACATAAGTGAGCATATTTAATGAATGACAGTTAAAACGGTTTGTGCTATTTTGGTGGCACAGGGCCCGGGACATAAATAGAAGATACAGGCAGAATCGCACGTGACACCGCTGAGAAGACGTGGAAAAACAGCGGCAGTCTCGGCTCTGAAGAAACATCCATGTTCACGTACACCTGCAGCAATGCGTCTCTCGCGCGCGACTGCCTTGCTCGACACACCTCCGCTATCTAGAAAAACTCGACGCTCCGCTAAACGAACGCTAAACGATGAAAAATTTGTCACACGGGCGCGCGCTTTTGCGCGCAGCGCATACGATACAATAAACGACGATCTGTATGTATGTATGTATGTTGTATGTAAGACACACGCAGAACTCCATTCATGCAAGCATTCACACCGTAAGCTATAAGGCTACCTAGAAGGCTCACTGGCACCGAAATGGACTACAACGATCCGCTCGTTCTTACCTTTCCTTCGCGGATCAATCTACCACCCGTGATATTCACCGCCTCGATCGCCGGCGCACGATCCAACACCTTACTCAGCAGGTTCTGCAATCATCAAAGATCATGAATTCTCAATGTCTCAATATCGATAATGCAAACGAGGAATTGTCAATTGTTTACGTTACCTTCGTATTCTCCAGCTCCAGTTTTCCGTAGGATTCATCAACAAAGTCCACCTCATTCTGATACGAAGTGTTGTACTGTTGCGCCAATCCATAGGCCGTCTCGGCGCTACGCAATCTGTCCACTAACTGTCCGCAAACGTTTGTCCATCGAGCGTTCAATTTGTTAACCTCTGCGTCCAATCGGTCCATATCACCGTGTGGGCCGCGATGATTCGGTCGTGACTTCTCCACAAGACGCCTGGCGTTGTGCGCGTCATCGTTCAACTGATCTACTGATACTTGCTGTTGTGCGATAGCATTCTGCAGGACCATCAGATCTTCCAATACAATTTGCAGGCCTTTCACGTCCGACGGCAATTCGCCGAAGGAGGCCAACTTAATCTCGAACTCAGAGATAGATGCAGTATTCTCTTCGAGACCAGACAGCACGATCTCGACGCATTTCAGCCGCTCGATGTACAAGCTGCTCAAGTTCCACAGGTGATTCCATTTGGACATTATGTTATCAAACTTGTTCCTCATCGCTGGTGTCTTTAAAGTGATGCCACGGAACGTTTGCTGCATCTGCTCCACTTCTGGTGCTAGACTATGCAGTTTTTGCTCGTAATCCTTGTGTTGCAGCACCAGATGTTCCAAACTGTCGAGATCGCGCGGTAAGGGTGCGGCTATGCGCGCATTCAGTACTCTCTCAGCCTCATCGAGTGCCTGCTGTAACGTGGACGCCTGATCATTGAAAATACGCCCGGCGTTCTTCGATTCTTCCTCCGCTCTGGCGCGCTTCTCAAAGTCATCGAACAGTCGATTCACGTCCGCCATTTCTCGCTTCAATCTTCGCAGCTGCGGATCCGCCGGGTCTCCCTCGGACAGCAATTTATCCGCGTCCTCATTCAACGCTTTTCTAATGGCAGTACGTTGATCTTGTCCCATGGCCAAGAACTGTGGCAAGTCCCAACCTTTAACTACTTTGATGGTCGCGAATATCATATTTTGTCGGAGTCGCAGCTGTTTTCGTTGCCAGAGAGCGACACTTCTATCATACTGTCGCCGCAATCTTTCCGCGGCGTCAAGCGCTTCTTTGTCGGGAGACTGTAGGGCGAAGCAGACACCCGGTACGGGGGATTCTACACCTTGCGTGTTCTTCACACGCCACTTGACTCTACCGGAATTATCGTACAACGTGCACTGTTCCCCTTTCTCGATGGACATCTACAGAGATGACGTAAATCAAAAGTAATATATTGTGATACATTAATATATTCTTGAGCATATCTATTAAATACTCTTCAGCTATTTTAGAAATACTTTTATACAAATGGTACTCACATTTACTTGCTTGTAATTGCAGATACAGGTCACTTGTAACGGTCGCATAACTGGTTGTTTGCGTTGCTTCATGGGGACGACGTCCTTCGCTCTCTCCACGAGTCTCTGTACGTGATCGCCATAATTATTAAGCTCTTCGCGCAGCTCTTGCATGCCCTTCAAGAGACGCTCTCCTTCGTCCAACGAAAAGTCAGACTGCGAATAAATGGTGTTCAGTGTCTCATCCCGTTTAGAAATCCACTGTTCGGCTTGTTGGATATCTTTGAAGAACTGCTGGTTTTGCGCAGCGTGTTTCAGATGCACTTCGAGGCAGAGAGTAAGTTGGAGAAGCCAAGCCCATTGACTCTGCATCGCGGACATGTAAGCTTCGATAGTTTTGGCCGCAGGATGATGCTGGAGGACTAACGCTTCACCGCGATCTTGTACCGCCGAGAATTGTATCTCGCGCTTCTCCAAATCGCTCATTAAAGACTGCAAAGAAATAATTGGCGAAAATTTTTCAATAATCATGCTTGTGGATAACGTATACATGCGTAATTAAGAGTTGGTCTACATTTTCTCCTACTATAAATATATTTTCTCCTACTATATTTTACCTCTAAGCCAGATCCGTATGTTTGCTTTCGAGGGAGAAAAATTCTAACTTATTAATCCAATTCAACCGAAGGAAAAATTCTTGAGTATATCATATTACAATATAAAAATAACATATATATTACAACATATAAATTCAATAACTTGCTGCATTATTTTATAACCAAGTTTTATACAAATCAGTCAAACTGGAAATTTGTTATTACTTCAACGAAGCTTTAATGACAACTAACCTCGTAATATTGCTCGATGCTCTGTACATTGAGGTTCTTGTCACTCCAATCGCGCATGACTTCGATCTCCTCCTTGGCGTTCAACCAAACCAACTCGCCAGTCGCCGACTGTATAAAATCGTGCAGAGTGTCCAGATCGGAGAGTCTCTTGTTTGAGACGGCGAGCAGCTCGGCGTAGAGTTTCTGCAAAGTACTAAGATGCTGGCTGTACAGCGTCAACTCTTCCCCGTGGAAGTTGTTCTTCGCCTGTACACATTTATCGACCTTAGCCTGGAACTGATCGATGTTCTTATGCTCTCTGTGATGTACGTCCAATTCATTTTGCACGCTAGGCAAGTCCGATCCGTAATCCGCTTCTTGCAGATGCTTCAATTTATTCTTGCACCAGTCTATGCAGTCGTGCAACGCGCGGAAATGAGGATTCGTGTCGACCAATCGGGTTTCATGGACGGTGGTGCGGTGTTTCGTCACAACGCGCTCTTCCACGGGGAAAGACACTGCAGACAACGGCTGTACCAAACGCCTATGCAGAAGGGACCGTAGTACTACCCACCTTTGATGCAATTTTTGCACTCTGAAAACAGACATAAAGAGATGGTTAATTAAAATAGATGCTTGAACGCGATGCGAGATATTTTGGAAAGTTGCTGAACACAGCACAGAACTTTCGAAAGTTACTGGTACGGCTATGAAGAGCACGCGCGCTCTAATAGTCTGCTCATTAGCGAGAATCGTATGAATAGAAACAATGTAATTATGCAGTTGAGAGCATAATGCACGCACGTTACGTATATTAACACGTTTGTTCATTATCACTTCCAACAGCCGCAATAAAGTCAAGGAACACTTATTAGACGCGCTTTCGCTGAAATTGTAGTATTAAATAACCGAAATATGATTGTATACCTCTTATGAAGCTCGGCAGCTTGACTGTATCTACCCTCCGTCAGAGTGTGCACATCAGTGAATATATTCTGTATTTGAGTTTCCGTGTTGCGTATGTCCTGTTCCAGCAGGTCCACCGCGTGCTTCGCCTCCAGAGGATGAAGGCGATCGAGTCTGCGAGCTTCGTCCTCCACACGTCTCTCAAGTTCCTCCAGTCTGTTGTCGGTCGTCTTCATTTCGCGATGTACCTTTTCGGCAAGTCGTTGCAAGCGTTCGAGTCTGTTGGCACACGTACAATATACGTTTCATTCTCATGTTTTCCAACATAACGCAAAATATCAGATATTGATGTAAAGATTGCATCTAATTTATATTACAATAATTGGATAACCTACCGTTTAATTTCGTCTATAATAGCCTGCTCGCGTTCTTGGTGTAACATAATTAGGCGATTCCAATTCTTGTCTATAACATCAATGTGCAATTCCTGTTCCATGTCCACTTCACCCACCGCTTCAAAATACTTCTGCAGGTCTCTGAAGATGTATGTCAACCTCTGTTTATCTCTGTATCGCGGCGGTACCTCCTCGTTCTTGAACTTCGTACTGTCCGCCGCCAATTTCTTCATTTCGATCAGAGTAGGCGGGAAGGATCGTTCTTGCATTAGTGCCATCTTCTCGCGGATCCACATGTGAAGCGAGCTGGCCAGTTCGCGATACTCCGCAGATCGTCTTTGTGCCTCGGCATCGTATAGAGGGTGAATGGCCGGTGGCTCCGGGAACACGTCGTAGAGCGAAGAGATGTACGTTATCAAAGACTTCTCGTCCGGTTCAGGGGTATCAACATCTACACAAAGTGCAACGTGTAGAATAAAACATGTGTTTGAAATCAATAGTTAATTTAAAGATCAACGGCATTTATTAAAAAAAAATCGAAGATCGGCAAAGAGACTCGACAGATGTTGTTTGTTTCTCGAAAAAAATCCGATTAGAATCTATCAAGAGTCACATTGACTAATTCTTCTATTATCTATTAATCCAGTTGTCTTTTCTTGCAACCTGACCAATGTCAGAAACCTGCAAGACCCAAGTATAGAAAGTATAATTACGATGAATGCCGATGGCGCGACGTTACGGTGTACGAACCGAGACCGGAAGTGATTCTGGTCAGGTACCGTGACCAGAAAGAACGTGCACCGCCACCATGTATCCGCGTTAGTAGCCCGCGGGAACTATACACACACGTAGGTCGAAGAGAATACAGCAAGTAGGGCTGTATTTACGATAATAGCATCGCCGAGTAGCACCAAGAATAGTACAAAATAACGCGATCACGGAGAGGACATATCACGACATCGCAGTATTTTTCTACTTTAGTGTTTTCTTTTACTTGTTTAATTTCACTAATTTTATACAAGAAAAAAAAGAGAAAATTTGCGATCTATTTTGGGATAAAATAATAAAAGATAATGTAACGGCGAGATATTTACTCCAGGAACAAGACGTCGACCATCAAATTAAAACGAATTAGTCACGACCGGTATGGCCAGACGGGTACATTTAATCGAATCAATAATCGGTCATTACCTTCTGGATCGAGAAGCCTGGTAACGCCGTACTCGCGCTCAGCGACGTAGAAGACCCGATCGAGCCGTTCTCGCGGCTGGCTTGCACGCGCTGTTCTCCAGTCGACCAGATCCGGTCGATTCCTATGTAGAAGAGCGCTGAAAGCCAAGCCGTCTCTCCAGGAACCGGTGAAATCGGTCACTCGCACGCCAGGATAACGAGCGGTCGAACGTCTGGCCCATCTTAGCAGAGCTTCGCGCGCCGTCACATTCGGTTCTTGGCCCACCACTATGTCGGATATCTGTGAACAGGGAAACGCCCATCATCGAAGTATAAAACAAACGAAAGAAAAAAAGCTTCTTGAAAGTACACTACGCAGAAGTGAAGATTTTGGTTCGCCCTTCGATGCATCATTTCGCAACGTTCCGAATTTTTGCCATTTTGCAACCATCTTCCCACTTTTGCAACGAGCAATGGAACAATATTATATATTGATAGACACCACACCAAGTACTTTGCAATAATTTCGTAATTGAAATGCGAGTGTCTCGAAGAATAGCAGATTATAGGTTCTTAAATGGTACAGTAATATTCGACGAACATTTCCCGCTGCATTCGAAAGCTATACCGGTTTCTTGATTTAAAATTGTCAAGAGTAAAACTACGCGAGCGTTATATAAAACTTATATGCAGCCTTCCACGGTTCCAAGTTCTGGTTTGAAATTAATAGAAACTGAACACCGCAACCTTTCAAGAACCATTAACATTTCGCTAGCTCGACCGGCGCCGAGAAAACATTTGTCGCGATTTTAAATTCACGCGCTTGATTCCAAAAGAACCGTTATTTATTATTAAATCGTTGTTCTGATTTTCGTAGCTTTGCTTTCATCCATTAATGCGGTATAAAATGTAAAGGATTATCAAAAATTACGTGTATCTACCGTTTTCACCGAGCTTAGATTAGCCGTAGACTTGTTCAAAAACGGGAGCCGATGAAAGCTTTGCAAAGATCTTCTGGCTCCATCGCTCCTAGATATTAAACGATAAAAACGTGTTATCCTAGCAGTCGCCTGGCTTCCTACCAAACCCAACTCAAGTAACGAGATAATAGAGACAAATACCATTGGCAATGGGTTTGACATTGGCATTGACGCATGAATTGAGTTCGCGTCCATTTGAGACAGTTGCCATTGACATTGATAAAAGCGCTAAGCATAGAGTGCCGGGAACATAGCATTTTCTCACATTCTTGAGTATGAAAACGCTATTTAGACGAGTTATCTGGCCAGACCATGCCATCTGTTTTCTTTTAACCTATGAGAGTCACAGCAACAGGTTGCGGAGACACACTAGAGAGAGTCAGAAGTTCGATATTCGCGTGATTTAATTCATTAAGTAGCTATCGCAATATCGCACATTTAGACCCATATCAATAGTCATTGTTGGAAACTCGTCTCAAGTGAGATACTCAGGTGTGAATTTAGAATTAGATGAGAGTTTTTCAGTTGTATCAAGATTATAGATGTAAATGTCACATGTATCATAATTCAACAGAAAATTTTGAATCTAATTCTGAATAAAACTCTAAGAGCCGTGTTAAATAGTGTTTACTTGACACTTGCCTCAAGTGAGATATTCAAATATTAGAGAGATACATAAATGTTTTTCAATTATATCAAACTTACAAATATAAATGTCACATATATCATAATTCAACAGAAAAATTTGAAATTAATTCAAAATAAAAATCTGAGTGTCTTACATCAGATATAAGTTTGATATAACAATACGGGGGTCTTAATATGCTATAAGACAAAATCATAGATTTAAAATGAGTACATTTTTCGATAAAATCCAGTAAAAATTTCAAAGACAATTTCTTGAAGACGATCACAAATCTTTTTCTCTTCTAATGTGGACTCATAAACATTCCCGTGTACTTTCAAGTTGGAAAAATGTTCACTTTTTACGAGTTGACGTTAAAGAAAAAGATTCATGATCGACTCTCTTGTCTTCGAGATTCTCGAGAGCGTCTTATGAATCCGGTCTGGTATCCCCCGAATAAAATCGAAAGCAGATTGACGAATAAGTAAGAACCACTTTTTCGTCGACTCTCGTTGTTCGTGCCGTTAGTTTAACGCGACAAAATGCCCCATCCAGTTTTACCGCAAAGAAATTCTATCTCCTTTGCGGATTAATCGCAGGGACGAAGTAACGTAACGGTGAACAGAGACAGAACGGTAATAGAGCTACGGGACTATACCAAGGAGAGTGTATCGCCGTTGCAAGCGTTCCGATTCTAATTAAGACGACGTATCCGTTACGACGGGAGAGAGTGTTCCTTTTGGGAGAACATGGCGTTGGGTCGAGCGATTTTACGGCGAGTTTTAACGCGAATTCCTCCGCCGGCTCGTGCCTTCGCGGAAATCGTCATACATACTTGATTTATTTTCAAGCGTGAACACATTCGTACACATTCCTGCATCTTTAATCGATTACGACTGTGAGGAACGATTGTACTCGAGATGACAATTCTCCGCGCGCGCTTTCAGACTCGCTTACCCGCACAGTTTTCGGTTTTGCCGAGGCATGCCGGGTTATAGCCGTCGTCGACGAGCTAGCATCCTGCAGGTACTTCGGATAGGCGCGTTTCGTTAGGTCCTCGGCAACGCTACGCTCCTCACCGCGCGTTAAAGTCGTCGTCTTGCGGACGATGCGAGTGACGATGCGCTTGGTGCCGTTCTCACCGCGTCTCGATGTCTTCGTCGACTCGATCGACGAACCTATATGCCAGTGAGCGATACAGATGATCGAATAAAACGTATCCCGTTGAACGGAGCAACGGTTTCATGCGAGATCGATCCTCGGAAAAGGATTCACCTGACGATATGTCAACTCCAAATAGCGCAGAATTTACGCACTAAGAAGGATGTTCAAAATAGGCCCACTTTAAGCCCACTAACGAAACCTTAACTGGTTACTGGAAACTATTTCTGAGACCTTCTAGAAACAGAATGTCAGAATGATTTGTTCGGGGAAAGTTACAAAAGTCGGGATACATTATTGATTGTTGGAGTAATCACATAAAGTGTTCTCTTAATCTTTGTATTTTTGATGTATCTTTAAAATGAAATTAATTGTACACTTACATGTAAGATGAATAATAAATAAGTCGATTTTTTTTTAATTCACATAATAGGTATGCGTTGTGGAGGTATATAGATATAATAATAAATCGCAATTTTCAAAACTTTCTCTGGACTTGGTGGATAAATAATTATTATTTTCTGCTTCCAGAAACAGTTTCCAATAATTGATCAAAGTTCCGTCAATGGGCCGAGAATGGCTCATCTTTGACATCCTCTTTTCTCTCTGCGATGCTCAGTTTACGCTAAGTGCTTGTGTGTACGTCATAGGCGTCTACATGCGACTGAACATCCAAATGACATTAACATTTAATTTTACCGTAAACTGCGGTTTAATTTTGTTAGGAAATAAACGAGCCTCTCAAGTCGACGCGATGATGTAACAGCTTATTATAGCACGCTGAGAAAGGACAAGCAACCGGCAACGGAGAAACCGCCGAGATGGTTACACGCCGTGTATCGATGCTGGCGATTGCCGGCATTGTTGCGGTAACTCGGAATCGGAGGTAATTGCACCGCGACGATAGAAAAAAAAAAAAATAGCACACGACTCATCGATTCTCTCGTTGCTTTAATAAGCTGTCCATTGACTGAAGATGGCTCTTCAATTAATCTGCAATTATTTACAATATCATCACGAGTTTTTAAACGGTGAGACAACTTCCACTTCGTGAACGAGAAACCGGCTCACTCTCTCCGACACAGACCCGACAAGCACCACACTCTCGTCCGTGATCGTCAGAGTGAATCCTGCTCCGGCTCTTTCTCCTCGATTTCGATCATCTCTACCTAAGACCTCGGTCGACAAACGGCGTTTCGTGTACACGGCCCGCAAATCGTCGGAGCTGCGTGGACCCGTTGGGCTGGGCGAAACGCCGTCGCGATCGTCGTCTTCCCGCGTGCCTTGCACAAACAGCCTGCCTCCTTTGCTGAATCGGTAGATCGACATTTTTTGTGGCTCACGCGACACACGTGCGTATCACCTTTATTCCGTCCGCTCACTCCGCTCTCGCGCGGGCTCTATCCAAGTGAACGTTCAAGCCGCGACTTGTCCGCGAACTGTAACTGTTCATTTACATATGTGACAACCGTCGTCGTCGTCGTCGTCGCGTCATGCGTATTCAAAACTATACGTCTTTTATTTTCCTGGAAAATACGACTCGCGTTATAAGCGACGACATCGCGACGCGCATTTGATTTGATCGAGACCGTCCCTCTCTAAACACGTGTTTTTTATTCAGCACGAGAAATGTATCAAATGAATTAACGTCGGATCGACATCAAACGATTGCTCGTTGAAATTTCACGCTAGGTTCGCGACGAAAAGGAAAAATCAACGATTCTGCGACATCCGCCTGACTACGAAGAAGACCGAGCTACGATCGCTTTGATCTCCACCGGCACCGTGAGATCGACTTTTCCGGCAGTTCGATGTTCAATCTCGACCGACACGGACGGTAATGATTTAGTTCTAAATCAGTCACGGGGATAAAGTTCATGGAGAGCCGACAAAGTGAAACGTTGCCGTTAACTGTAGCTCGTTCGCGCCGGCACGTTAAGCATCCAGGCACCGGTCGCCGCGAAGCGGAACCGCGCCGGTTAGAGACAGCGCCACGACGAGACGACGGCGCGGGCGTTTCGACAGGTGCATCGGCGTGCAAATATTATGATTTCTCTCTCCGTCTATATATATCTATCATCCTCGACAACACAGGCTCACGAATCATCATCTGCACGCACTTGTTGACGCGACGGCCACCACCATATCGCGCGCCGCGATCGACGATTTCTTCCGGTGATCTCACGTCGTCAACTGAACGATCGGCTCTGCACACGCGCGGCACGATCGCGAGGCACTGACTCCACGACGACGACGGCGGACGATGCGCAAGCGGTCGAGGATGGTGATCCAACTTGAACGACGAGCGGAGCGACTACGTGCCGCGACGCGCCGAACGATCGCCGCGTAGCATCCGGCCGTCGTGGCGAGAGTAGGCCAACGAAATGCGCACAGGTGAGAGACGTTTCCCTCCATCCCTACCCCCTCTCGCACTTTTGCTCCCCCCTCTACCGACATCGCCACCCACCTGGCGGTTAGCTTGCGCTTCAGCTCGCCTCGTCGCGACGTACAACGAGCGCGGCGCCGCGCCGCCGT